CTCCAGTCCGCGGCGGGCCTCGGCCAACTCACTCATCAGAGCATCGTTGCGGTTTTCCGCGACTTGTAGTCTGTTGAGCAAACCGCCCAACTGCCGCTGAACTTCGGCCTGTATAGCCTCTGCTGAAATCTCCGAACTCGGCGGTGTTGGAGGCGGCATTGGTCGCCCAGCTCGAATAGGCGACCGAAGTCTGAACGCCTGTCCTCCCGGTGGTGAGGGCGAAGACATCACAGAGCCGGCCAACGGGCTGGGAGCTAATTCTCCTCGCCCGGTCGCCAGATAATTTCCCAAGCGAGATACCCATCTAGGCACCTCAAGCGCATTCATCCAGTTGTTCTGGGGCTGTACTGTTGTAGTCATACTTGACCTCGGCGTAAGGAAGTCCGCTGCCCTTGGCGCCCCTCCCTGCACAGCATGTTGAGCTCCTTCTCCTCGTCGGTCTCCGTCCAACATCCCAGTCGTAGCAAGACCTTGGCTTCGCCCCTGCTGGGTTGCAGATTCGTCCCCGACTCCGGAGGGCCTTGCTGTCACTTGCCCTTCTCAAACATCCGGCTCCGGCCCAGTCATCATAGTTGTTGTCAGTTGTGCAGCTGGCTCGGGCGCCGGTCCTTCCGGTATATCCACAGATCGGGACGGCCCATCAACAGTTGACAGGGCAGGCCCGGTCCCATTCACGAGTTGCGCAGCACCTTCAGTTTGGGCGCTCATAACCTGATAAAAGACAGGCTTATGCAAAAATTGCGGCTGTCCCTCAGTGGTTCGAATTGATCATGGCGGCTCGGACACAGTGTCCTCTTTTTCACAGCAGAACGAAACGACTTGTATGTAAACGCTGACTGCACATGCTATCGTAGCCATCGGTGTGAGCTCTGCCAGATATATTGTACAAGTGCTCTAGCGTGGTTCCTCACAGGCTGATAGCTGTAAAAACACATGACTCAAGGGGTTTTACGTAGCCTTCCCTTTGGATCGCATGCCAGCGGGCGGCATCATCCATGCAGCAATCTGATCTCTTCATCAAAACCCTAAACCCTAAACCCAAACCCTAAACCCTACACCCTCAACCCTAAACCCTAAACCCTAAACCCTAAACCCAAACCCTAAACCCTACACCCTAAACCCTAAGTTCAACCTTTGGGGGGCTCCGGCAACTGTCCGGGCTTGGGGTTTAGGCGTAGGATAGGGTTTAAGGTTTAGGGCTTAGGGTTTAGGGTTTAGGGGGTTTAGAGGGTGTTTAGGGGGTTTAGGGTTTAGGGTGTTTAGGGGGTTTAGGGTTTAGGGGGTTTAGAGGGTTTAGGGTGTTTAGGGGGTTTAGGGTTTAGGGGGTTTAGAGGGTTTAGGGGGTTTAGGGTCGTCTTTTATTCCCTCTTGTGGCGCATTCGATTGAAACATATGCTTTAGAAACACAAGCAATGTAGACATGCACCCTCTCCCCTGTTAAAGGAGTTCCAATAGGGGACCCCCAATAAATATTAAAGTCCTCAAAGAAAGGAAGCTTATGAACCTGGTGTCTACAATACAACGCACCCACAGGCCCTCACTGAACGCTACCTGTGAATCCAAAAGCCTACTGTTCTATGATTTAGACCCGATGATTAAGCAAGGGGTCATAATCTACTATTTTGCAGGGTTTGGGGTTACAGGCAAACCTTGAAAACTTAAATCCCGAACCTTCAACCCTGCAACCTATAAACCCTAAATCTCAACACTTGAACCTTGCAACCCTGGCGTCCAAAAACCCTGAAGCCACAGAGAACCCTGCCAACGGAGCCTTACCACGAACTGGGTATGGCTTTGGAGTGTTTTATATACATTACGTCCTTTCATAGATGCTACGAAGGGGTATTGCTGATTACTCATCATTCTGAGCCCCAGCTTACACCTTCCTTCACCCTTAGCATCAAAATAGTCCAAAAGCCTTCTATATTAGGGTCTTTGGGCCCAAAAAAGCCTTAACATTATGAGTCCTTAGAGGGTAAGGGCAAGACTTAAGAATCATAAACCTAAGAAGCCGCACGAATCCAAGACCTTAAGACCCTGAGGTCTTGCGGATCCTGCTCCGTACGCTGGCCGTTGTCACTCCCCGCAGGCTTAAAACCAGCTGCCGCTGCAATCCCGAGGGTGGTGGGAGATTCAAGGCATGTAGCCGTGGTGCAGAGCTTCACATAGTCCTGCGGCGGACCCCGTACTTGCTTCTATATGCGTGTGTGTGTGTGCGCGCGTGTTTGCGCCTACGCTGCTCCTTGAATGTGGTGGGCAAGATGCCTTCATCCATCATAACGGCAAATCTTGCCCCCCAAACCCTAAACCCTAAACCGCTTCTTCTGGGGTGCCAGGAGCGGCGCTACGAGAAGTACCAGCTTCACTTAAAGCGCTCGCCACTTCTCTCTCATCTAATGCAAAGAGGTCCGCCAGCACCTCCGGCGATGATTTTGTGTCTGCCAGGACCCAGTAACCGGAGCCTTAGCTCTTCAATACCCTTGAAGGGGCCAAACAGTCCCTAAATCTTATAGAACCTTAGAGCCTTTCAAAGGAACCCTTGTAAGGAACTCTTGTTTATCTATATAAATCTACATGTATGTATATACGTTTCTATGCTCATATACCTATCTTTCTATCTATCTATATATATATATATACACATATATATATACATACATATATCTATATATCTATATATATATATATATAGATAGATAGATAGTATAAGTTTTGCATGATGCCCACTCTCCCCGGCCTGGATGAGAAGCGCCCTGGCCATGGCCCGGCGCCGAGCCGCGGCCTCCGAAACCAGGGTCTGACCCTACGTAGACCCCGGTTTAGGGTTTAGGGTTTAGGGGAACTACCCTTTATTGCAGCCTGAAACTACCTCTCAATGTGCCCACATAGTATATACTTAGGTCTTATGAAGTACCTATAGATAGAGGGACCCCTTGTATAAGGCTTGAAGTATTTACTATGAGGGTACATGGAGCCTTTGGGGCAGAAACCTGGCATGGTCCTGAAAGGCAGCTAAAGTTTTAGTGCTCTTCAGAAGGTTCGATAAAGGTGTGAGGCGCAAAGAAGGGTTGCACTATATAGCAGGGGCAACACAGGCGTTATGTGGGGTTTAGGGCCCTAAACCCTAAACCCTAAACCGCCCTAAAACCTAAACTCTAATTCCCTAATCCCTAAAACCTAAACCCTAATTCCCTAATCCCCAAACCTTAAACCCTAATTCCCTAATCCCTAAACCTTAAACCCTAATTCCCTAAACCCTAAACCTTAAACCCTAAGCCGCGTGTTGGTTTTTTGGGGGAAATCCCGAGCCCAGAACCCCAAGCACTACGGGAGTGACCAAGGACCAACTCATCGAAGGCACGGCGTTGGTTTAAAGTTCCTTAGGGTTAGGGTGTAGGGTTTAGGGTTTACCCTAAGGCTCATGGACCCCCATAGTGAAAGCCCAAACCTTAGCCCCCAAAGCCCAAACCTTCCCCTAGACAGCCCATAACAGCAAGAAGAGACTTAGGGTCGGGTTTAGGGTTTAGGGTTTAGGGTTCCTGAGGCAGCCGATGCGGCTGGGAGCCCCGATGTCCGAGATCAGCTTCGGCACCTCCTGAGCCTTCCCAAAGGCTCCATGTACCTATATAGTAGCTACTTAGGCCTTAAAGGGGTCCCTATGTAGGTACTTTAAGGCCTAAGTATCTACTATGAAGGTATATGGAGCCTTTGGGCTGCACAGCCTTCAGAGAGACCCATTCCTCACATCTCCACAAGGATCCTAAACCCTAAACCCCTAAACCCCTAAACCCTTAAACCCTAAACCCTAAACCCTTAAACCCTAAACCCCTAAACCCCTATAAACCCTTAAACCCTAAACCCTAAACCCCTAAACCCTTAAACCCTAAACCCTAAACCCCTAAACCCTAAACTCCGCAAGGATCTTGAGGAGCTTTGTTTTTGCAAGTTCGCCCACGGCAAGTGGGTTTTGATGGGCGCAGAACCCTTTCAAAACTACTTCGTAGTTTCGAGTTTCCGCCGTTGCGGTTGCGTGCGTGGCAACTTTGATGGTTGTCTGAAGGGACTTGTTGTCCCTGAAGACACCACTGAGGTACTTTATTGTCTCTTTCTGTGAGGACAGTGGAGCATGGATTGCATCTGATTGTCGGTCCTGCTCCGATTTCTGGAGTTTTCCCCAGGTGTCGGCCATGATGAAGAGTGAAATGATGTGGTAAGAGCATACATACAAATATGTACATACATACATGTACACAAATGCATACATACATAAATACATACATACATACATACACACACGAATGCAATCAATATATATATATAAGACTTACACAGCATAACAGAAGGATCTCTGCGGATTTTAATTCTGTTCTTGAGAAAATGCCAAGAACATTTGCGTAGGGTTCCGGTGTAGTTCTCTGTAGCGCTGCAAGTACCTCGGATGCCGTAGTAAATGAGTGTAGTGTAGCCATACTTGTTATCTTCCTTAGAACCGTTTCTGCAAGAACCTTTTCAGCAAGTACCCATGAATGCTTCACCCACACGGCAGAATCTACGACTGGGGTGGCGAAGAAATCCATTTCTCAGGGAATTTCTCAGGGGTATGTTCGGTCTTACTTATGTTTTGTTGTACCCTAGGTCTAAGCCCCTATGTAAACCCTAAACCCTAAAAACTAAACCCTAAACCCAAAGCCCTGAACCCCCTAGGTGAACTGTCGGGGAAGGAAGGCTCCACAGTTTCATCTTAAAATCGTATCTGCAAGGCTCATGGGTTGTTATGAGTAGGGGCAGTACGGGTTTGACTGCCCGACTTAGAGCTTTCAGTAAAGTCACTTTACTGCTACCCCTACTGTAGAGGCAACTACAGGTGGGGAGCTCAGGGTTTATAGGGCTTCTATACGGCTTCTATAAGGTATATAAACCTTCTATAAGGCTCCTATAACGGCAACTACCCACCTGGAATGTCCTAGACTACTTGCTGAGTCCCAGGATCCAAAGCCTTAGTAGGATCCAGATTGCACAGACCTCACTGAAGGTGTATGTATAGTTACCTTATTTAATTTTTATAACCCTAGCTACCAAGTCCCATGAACCTTTAAGTATAAATACCCCTGCAAAATCCACCACACGGCAGCCTAGTTGAACATCCCACTATGAACGACAAAAAGAGGATCCCAGTCTACTTTGAGGCACGTTCCTCACTTAAGTAAATGGCTTTGGAAGATCTGGGTACTCTGCTAGCCAGTGTGTTCAGCATGTAGTCAGTAGTCAGTCCGGAGCGTGAGTGCCTAAGTAAGCTCTACCTGCACCCTCAAAATCTACCTTCTTAAAGACTTATGTAAGGAAATCATGATAAGGAACCCTAAAAGGCTTGTTCCTGTTATGTTACAACGCCGAAAAACAATTCTAAACCCCTGAACCCTGCCCTAAGCCTCTAAACCCCAAACCCTAATCCT